AACTTACTTTTAGAATTCTGAGCAGGCCATTCTAGAAGAAGAGGAGCGAATTGTACTTTGGCTCTACACCGCCGGCGTGGATTCAGACGACTCGAGTGAATGGGATGTTCAACCCGGTCACTCCGTCGCGGTGGCACGGGCGGCATGGGCGAGTGGTCCGTCGGAGCTGTCTTCGAGTTACTCCGGAGCACTCGCCTCGACACCGGAGGCACGGTGTTGTTGCGCCTTAATGATTTTTTTACTTTCCGTGCCATTACAACGGTAAATCGGATGGCTAATCGGAGATGGATTGCCGGAGATGGTAGATAGACGAAGTCCAGATGTGGATCCCAAATTAAATTTTTATTTCAAATGTTGGGATGTCGATAAATTATACATTTGGTTTTACTTTGGTTTATGATATTGGACTTCGGTTGATAATTTTGTGTAATCGGTTTACGAAATCGGATTTAATCAGGAATGTTTAGTTATTTTACTTTGATAATGGCAATTCCGAAAATAAAATTTGCCTAAGAGCCCTTGTGGGAAGACAAACAGTAAAAACATCCATTTCCTTCTATGGTTTTCAAAACATCCTATTCCTCAAATTTAAAACTTAAAAAATCCCATTCAGCAATTTTCTCTATATATATTTATACCAGATCGGAGTGAATATCCGTCTTAATTGTTTTAGTATATATGTTTGCTCCATTTTTAACGGATATTAAATTTTAGTATTTGCTTTGCTCTATAAAATTATGGATATCCGGATTTTTCGGATCGAATCGAGAAAAATAACGGATCGAAGCAAACCTAACTATCCCTTACCATGATCACATGTATTAGAACTTATAACGTTTGATAATGCTAGATATCATTTTATCACTTACATATAGCTAAAAGTAATATACATTGTAAAACAAAATAGGACTAATTATTCCAATAAAATATTTTGGTACATTATAATTTTTTTTTACATATCCCAATCCTAAAAGTGGCTTAGATGGTTGGTCCGAAACTATGTTACAAATGAATGTTGGTTTATGTTTAAAACAAATAAATTTAATAACTTTTTTTTATTGGATCCTTTTTTTATTGTTTCCATTTATTTGATTACTATTATATTTTGGAATCTAATTTCGAATCTCATTCTCTTATTTCCTCTCCTTTCAAAATTTTGTACCGTCAGGATCGGGTAAATTCAATAATAGATGTCTGGCCACATTCAAGTCTTCCTTCTCGTTTCATCCTATGAATATTAAGAGTTCTCTTATCGACTCTCTCTGATCATATACTTGTCCATATACTTTCTTTCTCTGTGCTTGTTTCTTCATGTAGTAGCTTTCTGATTTAACATTTTCCTTATGCTTTTTCAACTTTATAACTTTACTAGGGCTGATCCGCGCTTCGCGCGGAATTTTGTATTGTATTTGTTGATATATTTAAGAAAAAATTATATGATATCAATTTTTTTCATTAGATTTTGTATTTCAAATTTTTATATATATTTATAGTATTTAATAATTTTATATACAACATTTAGAAAATAATCAAATAATATATTAATTAAAACTTCAAATCAAATTTAATTTGTAGATATCTTTATATTTATGCAGGTTTATGATTTTGAAATATATACAATTCTTAATTGTTGCATTCAGGAAAAAAAAAATATATGTAATAGACAATTAATTATTTAAAAATATCTCAATTCTCTAACATATTTTCAAATTCATAATCTCTTTTTTTTTTCTACACCCATATCCCTCTCCATCTCTCTCTCCCTCTCTTTCTCCATCTCCCTCTCCCTCTCCCTCTCCCTCTCCCTCTCCCTCTCCTTTTCCCTCTCACTCTCCTTTTCCCCCTCATGTTCTCTCTCTCATCAATGGAACATCTTGAACCACACACAACATATTGGACCGGTTGAAATTTCTATCTTTCTTAGGTTTTTTTTTTTTCTAGTCACTTTCAATATCACATCTCTAACCTGAGCTCTGTATAATTTTTTAAAAGAAACTTCACTCATTTTATGTTTCAAAGATTAGATTGATCATGTTAACATTTTGTGATACCATAATTTGTTTCACAAATATGCATTCTCACATCTCTATATTATTATTTAAGTAGTCATTTTAAAAATAATTTTTATTTTTTAAATTATTACATGATATTCCATTACAAATAACAACAATAATTAAAATAGAAAATAATACAATTGTCACTCGAGCTTTTTGAAACTCGTACAAATATTCCTAACACGTTAATATGTATTTTAATTATATAATATATCATTCTAATTTTCTTTAAATTTATGTCTTTTGTTATATTCTAGTGTTTCATATCAGTTTTAAAACGAATTTGGATATTTTTAGATATTAAAAAATTTGGATCCGAGAATTTATTTCTCGGATTTGGCAAAACTGGATCCAAATCCGGCTATCTTAAAATTTTATGGTTTACTATACATATCTATAAATCATATAAATAAAGTAAATAATTTAAAATAATAATGACTAAATGCATTAATATATAAACTATTATTTATGAAGAGTGTCTTTTCATATTCTTGTTAAATTAATGGATAATAGTTACTATGAGAATTAAAGTATAATAACACAAAGTATAATAAATTATAAATTAATAAATGAATTGATGATGTGTCACAATTTTAGAGTTTGAGAAAATGATGTGGCATCACGAGAAAAGAGAATATTTTACTTTATATATATAGATTTCATCATGTCAATCATAATTTCCAATACAAAGCTTATTCCTTCCCAAGCTATTCGCCTATTTGTGCTTAATTTTGGCTTTAATTCATCTACCTAAAACACATAAAGCAATCCATAAATTTAGTCAATAAATTTTGCAAAAAATGTGTTTCGATCAAATCTTGGTGCCTTGTTGTTAATAAAAGGAAGAGTTTTAGATTTAACCTTAAAATTAAAGTCAAACACCAAAATAACTTTTTTTCCTCTCTCCAACTTTTACCATTTTGTCACAATTCTATCATTCTCACTCAAAAATTAACGAAAATGCCATTATAAACCCATTATTTCGATTTTTTTAAATATTGGCCAAAGTCTCCTTGGACCTCCTAAAACCTTTTTTATTACAATAATGCCATATTCTTCAATACCTTCAACCACCATGAACAACCTTAAAAATAGAATAAATGCTTCTCAACCAATTTTAAAGCTGTAATAAGTTAATATAAAAGCTCATACACTCATAACCTTCCATATTCTTTCCTAATTTCTTCTCTAAAACTTCTGGGCTGAGTTACAATGTCAAAGGTTATGCATTTTTGGTGATTTCAGCTTAATCAAGACCTGCGTTGTTTTTTTTTGGGTCAAATTAAGAGTTTTGGGTGCATGAGAAACTTAAAAACAAACTCAAAACTGATATAGGTCATACACTTCAATTTTGGTAATATCTAAATCTGTATCGCGAAAGTAGACTTCATTTTGAAATCTACTAGTCAACATAAGGTTATTTTTGCAATTGACTTTTTAAAAGTAGACTTCATTAAACTTCACGAGAAGTCTACTCGATATCCTTTGAAAACAAAAAAAAAGCCTAGTAGACTTCGTTTGAAGGCTTAAGAAGTCTATGAAAGAAAATAGGTTATTTTTGTAGTTGACCATATTTTGACTTTTTAATATAGACTTCCGTATGAGGTCTACTGTTTACGTCTACATAAGAAGTCTACGTTAAAGTTACTTTTGTAGCTTGACCAAAAACGTATAGGTCATTTTAGTGTTTGACTACAGTTTTTTAAAAAATTAAAAATTCAAAAAATTCTGAAAAACTTCAGTAGACTTCCCAAAGAAGTCTAAAACCTATAGACTTCTTTGGGAAGTCTACTTATATTTCGGTCAAACTTAGAAGAAATCTTTTTTTTTGAGTAGACTTCATAGTGAAGTCTACTTAAAAAATTCAATTGCAAAAATAACATATTTTTTTCCGTAGACTTCTATTGAAAAAGTAGACTTCAAAAGTAGACTGTCAGAGAAGTCTACTCTTGCATGAGATCTACAATAAAAGTCTACTTTGTTAGTCAATGGCTCGGTCAAATGCTAAAGTAACATTTTTGGCTGGAAGTCTACTTTTGAAGTCTATTGAAGGAAAAGTCAACGAATTGGTCAATTGCAAAAATAACCTGTTTTTAAGTAGACTTAGTTAATAGACTTCACTATGAAAAAGTAGACTTCTTCTCCAGTCTACTTTTGAAGTCTGTTGTAGAAGTCTACTTATTGCATTTATTTTAAAAACGCATTTTAGGCACAATTATAAAGTATTTTAAAAACAAAATTTGGCTTAGAAATGCTTGTTAGCAAGTGATTGAACTACTCAATGATTTTTATTTTATTTAAGTCGATATTTATTGTAGAATCGGATTTTTTGATTTTTAAACTAGTTAGCTTATAAAAGTAGACTTCTCCAACAGTGTGCTATTGAAGTCTAATCGGGAAGTCTACTTTTTGTATTTATTTCAAACGTTTTTCAAAAATATTTATAATGTTTTTTTTAAATTTTTTTATGTTTTGATATGCGCGTTAGCAAGTGGTTGAACTACTCAATAATTTTCATTTGATTTAAGTCAATATTTATTGTGGAATCGAATTTTTTGATTTATAAGCTAGTTAGCTTGTAAAAGTAGACTTCTCCAACAGTTTACGGATGAAGTCTGCACACGAAGTCTTCTATATAGAAAAATTGTTACTTATGTTTTTGCAATAACGTGGTTATAATTTTGTTTGCTAATATGGTTTCTTTGTGTTTTATCACAGAATATGGTTTATAGAGAATGATGGATGAGAACTTGTGTAGTGCTTTTGTGTTCTTGTTTGCAAGTTAACAGTTATAATACACAAGCAATTAAAGTGACATAAGCTAATTTTAAAACATTGACGTGGACATACTTGGTAAAAGACAATATATGCAAGTATTTTGTTATGTGCATTCAAGAGTTTCGATCATTTTTACGGCTTATATTCACACCCCTTCAAAAAAAAAACTAAGAAGATCTCCATATAATAACATCAATTTGCATTACATGATGAACATGGTTTACAGATCAACGATGGATCTATAAATTGTTGAAATTCATTCTTACAAAACAAATAGAACTCAAGATTTTGAAATTCATGGTTAACGATGCTCGTTGCCTTGCACACATGTGACAAATGAGTTGTCGCAGTAGCATTCGAGGTTAGTGAGGTAAGAAGATATTCCACGGTCAATGGTGACTTCATTAAGAACAAGCATGTTCTCCTCTGTCTCGTAGTCATGCCTTGCTTTGTCTACTGCGGTCTGCTGTAGTGATGTTCCCTCTCTCAAACGAGACAATTTCTTTCTTGTGTTGATCATTAGCCTGACCCTTGCATCCCCATGAAAGCTTAAACGATGCCTGGAGCCACAAGTTAAACAGATTTTGAAAACGTAATACACCACATCCAAAAACGTGAAGTGCACAGGAGAGATTTTTCATTTATTGCTATGGCTTAACGTTTCCTTTACTATTACATCCAGGTTTTGAATGCAACAGTATTGGGATACAGCAAATGTGAGAATCCTTCCCTAAAGCAACTATACTCATCTAAATTGATGTTCTACGTCTGATGGTAGAATGTACAAGTCCAACAGAGCCTAAAGCAAGATTAACTACAAGAACTACATAAGAGTTGATACTTGATACTACTAAACGTTGCCTAGTTATGTTTATTGACTTGCATATCCAAAGATATATAAGCGCAAGCTAAGAGCTGGTTCACATCAAATTACCTTTCCTTCAATTTGTTGTTGGCTCCATTACAACTGTTAGATTCACCATCTTGGAGCACTTCATGAGAGCAAATACGCTCCATGGAATGCCTTCCCAATTTCCCATTTTCCTGAACATGAAGCTGCAGAGACTTGGCTGAGTGATCCATCCCCTGGCTATGAGATTCCTCGGCGTGCACTCCATTTAACGGCACTGTGAAACAAGCCAGAGATATATGTTATTCAAAACAAATCATGGCCAAAAGCGCCATTCAAAATCAAAGCTACCAGGACTATTTGGTGAAAGTCAAGCAAATTATCTGAAGCTACTTAGTTAGCAGAAACTTAAAACGGCCGTTTTTGAAGTCAATAAAGAACCTTTATGGAGCAACTCTAGGTTCTTGGACCTCTCCAACTCATATATTTGCTTCCATTCAGCAGCCTCAGCTTGAGCCAGCGCCTTTCCTTCAGCAGATCCTCTTAGAGCCTTTGCAACAGCTACAACAAACATGCAAGAAACTCAAAGTTAAGTCCACAAAAGAAAACACAAAAAAGCATGAAGCTTTTGCTTCGAGCATAACCAAAAATAAAAAAGCTTACTTCTCAAAGCCTCTGAAAACTCAATAAGGTGATCATCTGTTGCCTGCATCGGAGTCTGTTGAATAAGAAGCTCCTGAACAGCCTTCTCTGACTGAGCAAGTGAAGACAGATCACTGAAACCATTCTCTGGGTTTGAGCGCAAACCGTTTGCATCTCCATTTACAAAGGAATCCTGCCAAGAAACCCCAACAAGTTAAAAACTTTTTTGATTCAGAAACATATTTGAAACAATCATATGGTTTGTGTCTCTAGGATTCATGACTCCAAATATGTAAAACAATCATAGTTCCATTTTCCATTTTCCATTTTCCTACACAAATTCAGAAGGACATACTGAAACAATCATATGGTTTGTGTAACATAATCTTAAAGATATCCTTTAACGATATCCTTCTGCGACTGTACAAAAATAAGTACTGACCTGACCATTTCCACAGAAAGAACTCGTACAGACGTTGAATTAGGTTTAGTGAAAATAATCAGTACCTGCAAAGCTTAACGATGCTCAAGAGTCCATCAGTGGAGAAACCAGAGCATTTGTCGATCTTTAAAGCCTCGAGTTCATCAACCTCGCCCTAGCCAAAACATCCAGATTAAAGTCGCCGACAATCATTCGCCAGAAGTGCACCGGTTTGAGCTGCCGTTCATCCAAGTCGCTGACAATCATTTAAAATTGGTAACCTCATGTATCAGCTCAAATCAACTACAAACCCAGATTTCAGAGAATCTTAATTTCAATTTGATTTTTAATACATCGCCAACAAACAGATAGATGTTTTTTCTGAATCATTTTATACTATTAGAGTAAAGTTTTATAAATGCAAAGAAAAAGAGATTCAAAGAACGATTTTTTTATATTACCTAAGCGGCGAAAACAGCGGTGGTGGTATTGCTGGAGTCACCAGACAGAGCTTCGAAAACAATGGTGAGAAAGGCGATGGAAGCCAGAAGAAAGCGCCGTATTAGAGAGTTTCTTTTAGATAAAATTAGGATTTTATTAGAAATTGTTAGTTTATATAGTAGGATAAAATTTTCGGTTAAATTAGCTATTTTTTTATTCAATTTTGGTTTAAATTTCGGTTAAGTTAATTTATTCGGTTTAGTAGACTTCAATATAGAAGAAGTCTACAAATTTTTAAATCTAAATAATATATTTTCTTCTTCTTAATTTAAAAACATAAATTTCCATTTATAATTAGAGAATTTATGAATGTAATTTTGATACCAAAATAATTTTTTCTAAATTTTAAAATTAAATTTCCTGATTTAATTACTTAGTAGACTTCATTTCGATAAACGAAGTCTACTATTAGACTTATTTTTCTCTTTAGTAGACTTCGTCAGGATGTAAACGGTAATTAAGATATCCGTTTTTTGTTTAGTCATACAGGATTAAATGGTTTTTTCACTACCCCTTTAAGTTATTTCTGCCAAATATTTTTTCTGGGGTCTACTTTTGTATTCAAAGTCAAGTTTTAGGTTATTTTTAGCAAAAACCCTTAATAAAATGTGTTTTAGCCTCTGTTTAGGCGGCGGAGTGACTTGCCAGTTGCCACTGCTCTCATTTCATTGGAAATTGAATTCTTTTGGTTCAAATAAAAAAAACGAAACAATAAAGGGATAATTAAAAATATAGGATAAAAAACACTACTATTGTTTCCTTAATATTTTAATTTTGGAAGTTGTCCCTTTAATACTTCTACAAATTATTTATCCTCTTCTACCCTTTAAATAGAAATTACACAGAATAATAAAATTTATTGGTATTTAATTTTAATCAGATTAAATTAAAAACGAAAAAGTAAAAAAGAAAATGATATTTACCCAAAAAACTTTATAGAATCCGTCTCTTACTATTGTCTAACTTTGACGAAGAATTTTTTTTTTGACGCCAATAACTTCTCTGCCTGTGTAGTCTCCACCGGATCTTCACTCCGGTAATTAGAACGAAAAATCAAAAAGAAAACGTAAAAATTGTGAAAAAAATGTGAAAGGATGTATGTTGAATGATGAGAAAAATGTGAAGATATGGAGAAAAAGAAAAAATTGTCGCCATAATTGAATTTCTAAAATAAAAAAAATTAAGAAATAATTTAGGAACAAAATTCTTCAAAAAGGAAAGAGATATATTCTGTATATTTTCTATACCTTATCCTAGATTCTCAGAGATTTAATTAACCGTTTTGTAGAATTAGTATCTATACTATTATTTACGAAGTCAAAAATCCTATGTGTCGTCTCCAGAACGATTCGCTTATGTGTCATTATTAAAATATATATATATATATATATATATATATATATATATATATATATATATATATATATATATATATGTGTGTCTTTTTAATTAATTCTGATAGAACAATCTTTAATTCTACGTATCAATATGTGTGACATGGCTTTTTTCATCGATTATGAACCATTAAATTTATTAATGGACCAGCGGTTTTATCTCGATAATAGCCACTGAATCTGTTAAATGAATCATTAACATAAAAACTCTAAACCCTAAAGCATATATCATACTCTATATATGCTCGTATAGTGTTATTTTTCTTTATATTTCCTAAACATCTTTTTATATATTTCTGTTCGTAAATGTTTTGGATTAATCAGTTATTGTTCGTAAATATAAATTGATCTGAGCTTCTTTATTGTTTTTCCTTAAAGCAATCTTTATGACGAGCACATATTTAGTTATGTAATATTCTTTTCACTGTTTTGTGTTTGAATTTGTTTCTTTTAATTCGAGTTTGTAGTCTTATATTGATATATACCTTCCACCATGCTGATTTGATTAGGTTATCTTCGTTGGTGGTTTATACAATGGACAACATGTCAAGAGGTAGACTTATCAATTTGTTCTGTTGTTATATTCATTCAGTTTACTTTTTATACAATTAGACAACTTATGATGTATCGCTTATATTTTTTAGAGATGCATCGGTTTGTATTAAAAAAATTCTAATTCTATACTTCGTGGTTATGATTTTAAGATGCATCGCTAATATTGCAAAGTCGAGTTGAATGATGCATCGTTTGAATAACAAAGCTTCATGTAATTTGTCTGAATTTTCTCTCTCTTTAATTCAGATGTTCTCGTTTTGAGCTTCCACCTGCCTCAACCTAATCGTGAACCTAAAGGGTAAGCGTAAGTCCATATTCCTATTTTTTTGTTACAACGTGATTGTTCCTTAAAAGTAAGTTGACTCCACGACTTTCTTTTCTTCATGATTACTTGCATTTGTATTTCGTTATTATTCACTTACATATATAGTTTGATGTTCTTCTAAAAGATTATTACAATGTTGTCATGTCAAGGTTTACACCTTGAGAGGCGCACACAATTTATGGGTTGGATGGATTATAATCGTTTGTTTCGCAAAGCTTGAATTCTCCAGTATTAATAATTCCCATCACTCTACGTTTAATGGCACAATCTTTGTGTATTCTGTTCTGCTGTCTCTGTTTTTTGTTTACTAGATTCTTGAGACATTTCATCACAACATTTTTATAACGTGCGCCTCCCTCCTCTTATTTTTGTTAACACATGGTTCTGTCGTTAGTTTCTTCTATTGTTACATTTACTTATGCTCTAGATCCTAACATAATACATGAGGAGGATCGGTGTACACTTGATTTGATGTCACTTGATATCTGCCTTAGAGATTCACAGTCCTCAGTTTTACTGAAAGGGAACTTTTTTTTTGTTTGTTTCTTTATAAAATTTAGGCTCGGGTTCTCTGTATGACACAAGCAGATATAGTCCATGTATTATTAGAAAAAACTGCGTTTGATAAAAGAACTTTGTTTGTTTCTTTATTGGTGGATCTAACTCTTGAGATATTGGATCATTTTTCTTTGTTGGTTTTTTTAGTTTACCGAGGTACAAGTTCTTGTGTGTCACGTTTAAGGGTTTACACGCATAATTGCTTCGGTTTTGTATGAAGTTCTAAAGACAGTGGAATTTCAGTGCTGAGATGAATTCTTCTATGAGTTTGTTTTAATATAATCTTTATTCTTATTTTCTTGGTGGATGTTTTGCAGCTTCCAGTCTTAGGACAACACTGAGACCAACCTCTGCTTTGTTGGAAACACATTGTGTCAGCAGTGGAGGGCTCAGTGATTCATGTCTGGGACTACTCTCAACCAAATAAGAAGGTTGTTTCTTCTCAGAAACCAAAAACGATCAGGTCTTATGTCTGTTGCCATACCTTGACTAGGAAAAGGGAAAGAAGGGGACAGTTTCATTGCTGATCTGCAAAAAAAGTTGTTCATTTCCTGTTGCTGATGGACTGTCTCTCTCCCATGAAAGGAGCAACAACGTGGCAAGAAGAGAAGCTTGGAGTAGTAACATGTGCAGGTGAAGCAGCGATTTCAGCTAAATCCAGCATCGGGTCTAAGCTGAGACTCTTGAGGAACGTGTGCGAGAACGTCAACCCTTGTATGCCGCACCTGTGGGGGCTTGTGATCATGACAGCAACTTGGGACGGTAGGATTAGGGTGTTCCATAACTACGGTTTACCAGTTCAAATATACAAAAGTGGGAAATGTGTATATGTAAACAGTGTTAGAGTAATAGCATTCTTTGATTTAGATTGGAGCTCACGTTAGCTTTAAAATCATGAGCTAAAATTGGTCTTTGTATTTTGTGTCTGTTGCTTTATGTGACAACTATAATGTGCGTGTGTGTAAGTAAACACCGACCGTGATTTAAATTTTGTCAAACTTAGAAGCAACAACAATGTGACTGACTACTGAATCTCTCTGGTTCTTAACATCTACAAAACATTAGTACGTATAATCCTTTTTGTGTCCTTCTGTTGATATTATTTCTTTAACCGAGGACTCTGAAATGCGTTTATGTTTTGATATTTGCTTATCAAATGTTTGAAAGTAAAAAAAATATATACTTGAGGAATTGTATCTGATGAGCATAACAAGAATAGAGACACTACGATCGACTCTCCCCCTTTCATATGTATTAAGAAAAACATACAAAAGAAAGAAAAAAAAAACTCAATCTTTATAGCTTTACTTTATGTTTTTTTTTATTGTATTAGTCTTGACATATATATACAAGGCTTGAGATTTTGGATCAAAAAATTAGATCCTTCTTAAATCGATTAAGTGAAACCAGTTTAATTAATATTTTTCCTAAAAAGTCATAGATTTTTTATTCATTTTCACTAATCTTACTAAAAATATAGCTTTTAAAGTCAATTCAACCGATCAATCTAAGACGGTCTTAATGGTTTTTTTTTGTTTAAAAGATACAACACTCTCATCAGTTTAATATAATACATGATAACAGCAAAAAGAAATTAGTTAAATTAGACAAAGCAGAAAAGTAAAGACGAAGAAAAACCTGAATAATAGTATATCGAGACGACGAATATGATAAAGAAAGATAAGAAAGAAAATGAAGAAATTGGAGACAGTGAAAAGAAGTCGGAAGAAATGAAGATGATAAAAACAAGCAGGAAAAAATCACAGATATTGAAGAAGAAAGAAAAATTTAGGAAGAAACATATTTTAAGATTTTGTTTTTTTTGTATAATATTTTTTTTCGGAGGTAACACATGTAAATACCATTTTATTTATATATGATAGATACTATAATATGATTATATATTAACTGTAATTGTTTTTTAAATTTAGATAATTTAAATATATAAGTCGTTACATGAACGTAAGCTACAAGAAAATAATACTTGGAATGATGAAGCTAGTTAATTTGATGTCAAAAAAAATGTGCGACTGATATGAAGAAGGAGAATGAAGAGATGGCCAAGATGGTTGAAAGTAAACTAAGAGAACAAAATAGGAAATAAGCATGACGGAAAATTTGTTCCTGAACTTCTACAGCTTTGTTGCAACTTTTGATCATTTTATTATTATTATACACGTGAAACGGACATTATGGTCAATTTCCAATGAGAGCAATGAGATATCGTTTTTGAAAAGTTT